GTTCGACGAATCCGGCTCGACATGTGCCAGTTTGGAATGAGGGTGGACGACAGGGGGCCCAATAAGAAACCCACGGGAATTTTGTCCAACCACCCCGAGGTGTTGCGGCTCTTAGACGGTCACCTCTGCACGGGGGAACACAAGCACGCGGTTCTGGAGGGAGGCTCGGTTACTACCAAAGCGGCATGTTACCCCCCTTTGTTCGTGCGCACTGTCGCCAGGGCTGTCGCCGAACATTGGTCCGGAGCTTCCAGGGCCAGACAGTCTTCCTGGGCGGAGTTGGCGGAAGGAGTCTCCGGCGAGGCTGCGGAGGCCGGGGAAGCAATTGGCGGCGAAGGCGAGCCCGAAGGTTCGGACGAAAGCGACGACGAGCCCGAGACCCGACCACCCACTCAGAACAGAACGAGGGGAGATGTGTCCGGGAAGCCCGATCCTCAGCCCACTGAGGACGAGAAACGGCTAATATACAAGTTGCACTGCAACATGGGCCATCCCGACAACCGAAAATTTCTTCGGGTTCTTCGAGCTGGCGGCACCAAACAGCACCTGGTGAGATGGGTGCGTCAGCATTTTGTTTGTTCGGAATGTGCGGAACGATCGCAGTCGGGGGCCCATCGTCGGGTTGCTCTGCCCAGGACCTTTCGTTTCAATCACATCGTGGGGGTTGATCTCTTCTACCTCGACTTTCAAGGTACGACGTATCCCTATCTCAACATTGTCGACCGCGGGTCGAACCTGCAGGTCGTCACCCGGGTCGAGGCCGCGACGTCGGCCGCTGTCTGGTCCGAGTTTCTGAGGTCCTGGGTCCGACCGTTGGGCGCGCCTCATCTGATCATCTCGGATGGGGGCTCGGAGTTTGGAGCTCGGTTCGCCCGAGGCTTGGAACAGTGGGGAGTTTGTCATCATGTCTGCGACGCGGACAGTCCCTGGCAGAACGGACGAGTGGAGAGACACGGCGGCTGGGTCAAGGACCGAGTCCGTATTGAGCTAGAGTCCGGGACGTCCCTTCCCTCATCACTCCAGGAGCTGGACGATCTGGTGTTTGAGTTGGTGGCGCATAAGAACCGATTTTGGCATCGAGGTGGCTTTTCACCTCTCCAGTTGGTTTTTGGAGAAACCCGCGTCTTCCGCATGAGCTCTTGTCCGACGATCGACGGGCTTTGCCTGGGTGGCAGGATGTCGTGAGCCCCTCCTCAGAGCAGGACGAGGCGGGAGCCGAGTTTGCCAGGGCCCACGCTATTCGAGCGGCGGCCCGTAGGCTCGCCATGGAAGCCACAGCCCGAGACAAGCTGTCCCGAGCAGCCCGGGCGAGGACCCCTGGGACCAAGAGATTTACCCCCGGCCAGTGGGTCTTCGTCTGGAGGCATTTCACCAGAATATCGTCCAGGGCCGACGCTCTGGGGCGCCGTCGTGCCGGCTGGACGGGTCCCGGGGTCGTGGTGCTTGCCGAGGGCGGCGCGGTGTGGGTTGCGGTCCGGGCCCGTCTCTGGAAATGTTCAGCCGAGCAAGTCAGGCTTGCTAGCCCTGAGGAAGAATGCGGCCTTCAATTGGCCGAAGACCCTAGATGGCAGGAGCTGCTCCGTTCGGCTCAGGCGAGGCGGGTGACCGCTGTGGACGTTCAGCGCGAGGGCCCCCCTCCCGAGAGTGCCTGGGACGAGGCGGCACAGGCCGAGCTCGACTCAGAACCAAGGGTTCCCGGAGCTGGGCCAGTGCCAGCCGAGGAACGAGGACCGGAGAATCGACCCTCTCCCCCGTCAGTGGGCGGGGCCCTTGGGCTTCCTCGGAGGGCCCCCAGGGGGTCTCTCTCTCGTGCCGGATCGGTTGTAGCTCAACCAGGCTCGGACAGGACCGGGCTGCCCTCTATTTCCGAGCTGGCTCCTTCAGACAGAGAAGAGTCGGCGACGCCGTCTCTCAGTCGGCAGTTGTCTCGAGGAGTTAGCTCAGGATCCGCCGAGGTCGAGCCAGGGGATCAAGAGAGTCCAGAACTCCTCCCTCCTCCGTCCTCTCCTCGTCCTGTTTCCTTACCTGCTCCTGCTCCCCCTCCTTTGCCTGCGTCTCCCAGTTCCCTTTCCCCTGTCGCCCCGTCTCCACCAGAGGGGGCGAGACCCAAGACGAGGGGGCGCCTCACCCAGCCTGAGGATGTCCCAGCTTGCATTCGAGCTGCGAGGGCCGGGAGCGCCCCTCCTGAGATAAAGAGAGCCAGAACCGAACCCTCCTCGGCCCCCTACCCTCCTTACCCCGTCGGTGGAAGTGCCTCCTCCTCCTCCGGTGTTGGGGGCCCTGGACCTGGACCGGAGACTCGGGGGCCTGTCAGGACCGGCGACGAGCCGAAGCAGTCTGTCCAGGAGCGTGTTCAGGCCATCGAAGCCCGAGCCAGGTCACGGTCGCCAAATCGTAACGGAGGAGCCGAGGGAATGGTCGAGGCAGAGGCCACCAGCGAGTTTTTCGTGGTCCCGGGGCCGATCGACGGGCTCTCCGTCGTCCCTGGGAACGTCGAGGGGTTTGTCGGGGCCGTGTGCGAAAGCATTCAGGACGGGGACACCTTTGCGGCTAGCCGCGGGGGAGAAGTGACCCTCAAGAAGCTCACCCCTCAGGAGCGTCAGAAGTTTCAGGCTTCAGACGACAAAGAATGGAAGGCCATGCTGCAATCCGGGGGTGTCCGAGTCATCCCTCCGAATCAGGCGGCGAAGATCCGACAACGTTGTCCGGACAGGATCATATCCAGCCGAATGGTGCGCCGATGGAAGCCAGTTGAGGGGACTTTCGTGGAACCAGAAGCGAAGTCCAGGTGGTGCGTGCACGGTCATAAGGATCCCGACTCTGGCTCCCTCGCCGTATATGCGCCCACCCCCCAGACCTCGTCTATTATGATGTTCATTCAGGTACTGGTCAATTTCAGGATGCTCGGAGACATCGCGGATGCCAAGAACGCTTTCACCCAGTCAGATCCGATGACGCGGTCCCAGGGCCAAATATATGTTGAACCATGCGAGGGTATCGACGTTGAGCCTGGATCCCTTATCCTATTGCTGGTGAACGTTTACGGGCTGGACGATGCTCCAGTAGCGTGGCGTCGCACCGTGGTTGGCCATCTGGAAAAGCATGGGTTCGAAAGAAGTTTGCTGGAGCCCTGCTGGTGGCTGAAGTATCGAGCAGATGGGGCCATCCAGAACATGATGTTGCTGGAAGTCGACGATTTCTTCATCGGGAGTGCGGATGCGGATGCCCGAGCGTGGATTCGCGGTATCCTAGAGGACCGCTTCCGTTTCGGGAAGTATCGAGACTGTCATGCCGGCCCAGTGGATTTTGCGGGTAGGCGTGTGTCCTTCTTTCCCGGCAAGGCCGTTGTTGACCAGGAAAAGTACATCCTGGAAGAAATCCGCCCTCTGACCCTGGCCCGGGGCCGCTTGTCTGTCAAGAATTCCCCTCTCGAGCCGTCCGAGTTTAAAGCTTTGCGTTCTCTGGTCTACAAGTTTAATTGGGTCGGCCGAGAGTCACGGCCAGAAGCGGCCGGAGTAGCAAGTATTTTGGCCAGTCGTTTGCGAGCTCCGACAGTGTCGGACGTGTCTTGTGCCAACAAGTTGGTGAAGCACCTGAGGGCGACAGCCTCTCGAGGATTGGCGATCTGGCAGCTAGACCCTGAGCGTATGTCTTTCATATCGTTTTCCGATGCCGGTGGTGTTGGTTCGGTAGAGTCTCTCCAGGATGACAATGGCCTCCCAGCCGACCCCACCCAGGGAGCCTGGATGGTGTTGGCCGCCGACAAGTCTGTTCTCGATAATCAGGTGGTAAGAGCGTCCGTGCTCGGTTGGCGTAGCAGTAAGCTACGGCGCAAGGTGCCTTCGACGCTGGCCGGGGAGACTCAAGCTCTCTCGGCCGCCGTGGCGGAAGTCGAGTTTCTTCAAGTGTTGTACCGTGATGTTGTGTTCAAGGATGTTGATCTGCCTGATTGTGTGCGGGCCTCAGGGCCCTTCACTACGGTCTTAAGACGCGATTGTAGCTTGGGTTCTCGGGAACAACAGGTCCACGTGGTGGACGCCAAGTCAATCTATGATACCTTCCAGAAGGAAGGCAACGCTTCGGCCCGTGATAGGCGTACTGCTCTAGACCTCGCCATCATTTGCGAGTCCTTGGAGCGAGCCAGAGGTAAGATACGGTGGATACCCCGTGGCCGTATGCCTGTGGACGCTTTGACCAAGGACGACGTGACTAAGTGTAATGCCGCGCTGTTTGATTTGATGACCAACGGCAAGCTCAGTCTGGTGGACGAGGCCCAAGAGGTCGGCCGCCGGAAGGACATGCCCGAGCGCAAAGACCGCTCTCAGGCAGCCTCCAGAAGAATGCTGTCAGAGCCCGCCTGGATAGCATGGCTCGACTACCTGGGCCAGAGGGCTCCTCCTGGCCTGGTTGGTGGTGGTGGTGTCCTCCCGTCCTCCTCCTCTCTCCCTCCGCCTTTATCATCCTCCGAATCTGTTTTCCAATAATCTGCTCTCTAGTTCTGCCTCTCTCTCTCTATCTTTCTGCTGCTGCGCAAGTTTGACATTTGCAGGTCGTTTTGACACTGCCAGGCAGTGGCCACGGACCGGCGAATTGAGTTTTTGGGACAGCTAAACCTAGAGAAAGTTGGACCCATGTTCCAGGGGTCCATAATCTCACGTATAGGTTTAGCTTTTGGTGTTTCACTCTGGGGACCGATGGACAGAGATCCATCTTGTACGTGTCCGTGCCACATGTGGCTCAAGGGAAAACATTATGTCCCCTCTCCTGCTGCCACACACGTCCTTGTAACACCTTGTGCCTGCATGCGAGATAGGGGGGGGGGTGGATGAAGGAGGAGGAGGAGGAGTGATCATAAAGGGAGGGTGGCCTGGGTATCACGTGGTGTGCCTTTCGGTCTGCAGTCTTTCCTCTTCTCGCGCAGCGCCCATCTCTGGCCTCTGGTGGTCCGTCCCTGTCCTCTCTGACCAGCACCTCCTCCATCCTCGTCCTCCTTCTGTAAG